ATCTGGAAAATTTCAGCCCCATTAAAACCTGAGTTGAGAGAACCATAAAAACTAGATATTGAAAGCAAATCTGATGTGGAATTCATCTACTAGCTCATTTTGAGACCAATAGACAGATTTATTTCTACGAATATATTCATTTTAACCCATCTCAATACATGGTCTTTATTTAGTCATTTTCTGTAAACACACAAAAGCTGAATCATATTATCATCTATTCTAAGCTCATAATGAAAATCATGACTAGAATATAGTGGAAAGCATTTCTCTTTAACAACATCAGTTTAGGGAACGTGTTTTATTCCAAAGTTAAAAGTACATCAAGAAAATTTACCTGGTTAAGGCTAGTAGGAAAGTCGAGGACGCGCATTTCGTCCTAATAGTGACTCGTCAGCTGGATGTACCTGCACCCCAGTGAGTCATGTTTTTCCCACTGAAACTGGAACCTCGTACTTATCGCTACAAAAGTATGTATTGAAATAATTCCTTTCACTTTGACTTTCTATTGTTCCTGTTGAATTACATATTGACTACCACTGACTTAATGTCGTCATCCATTGGTTCAATGTAATTTTTCTTAGTATACCATTTAAGTCAGCTTCAAGTTTTTCCTTTTGCCAAATCACTACAGTAACTGCTGTGATTGTAGTCTGCCTGTAAATAATGGTAAACTAGCAGGACAACCTAGTTTGTTATTATCTCTTATTAATAGTCCAGTTTTCAAGACTCCGGTGTAAATTTCAAAGAATTTGATCAGACTTGTCTTAAGTCAATGACATGTAGTCATATAATAAGGTGAACAAAAACCTTCAAGACAATAGTTTATATGAAACATATATACACGTTAGTATCTTCTAGTGAAAAACACATGATATAACAGTATGATATATTATAAACATTTCACGTGCTTGATCAACTGTTTATTCCTCGATTAAGGGAAGATTTTAAGACATTATTACTTACTAGTCACAAGAGTTATTTTAATTGTCTGAGTTCAGTTTTAAGATAATCAACCGGAATTTGGTGTTTATTCAAGTCATCAGTTATAAGATCTTGGTGGGATAAATAACCAGTTATGTGATTTATACCTAAGGTTTTCTGTATAGAGATTAGAAACATATGAACAACACTAAGTTGACACATGGACTAGATTTCTGCTGAATATATTTGTATAATTTGTCAGTTAGTGTGATGAATCTAACATAAAAACGTCTTTCTTGGTGAAAAAAAAAGGAAAAAGTACTCAACTATTATAATGATACTTGGTACAACAACAACAACAGACATCCATTGCACAAGAAGTGGCTGTCGTGCCACGGTGACTTAGTGGATAACGCTGTGGCGTTTAAAGCAAAGGGTACTGGTTTTGAGCCTCGATAGGAACCACATCACTCGCTTGAGTGCAGGTATATCCAACTGATGAGTTCAAACTTAGAGGAAACGTGCATCCTGGGATCCTGTGCCAGTCACCAAGATTAATAATCAACATATATCTATATCGCATAAGTCGACGGTTGGTGACTGTGACACTTTAATACAAATTTCAGCTTTGAACCCTTGTCCATGTGGATGATGGACAATGTGTGAAATTAACACCTTTGTACATTTTCAAACACTGGTAGTTAAGTTGTTCGTTATTTATTGCAGACACTTTTCTAATCATTTGTGATTTCTGTTACACTGTAAGCGAAAAGTCATCGTTGAATTTTCACTGCATTATACGTAAATCATTGTATAAATCTTCATAAGGTACCGGTTGTCACTGTGAAAGGTAGATTAAAAATATAGTAGATAGCACATTTCCTGGAAAACATTTTAAATTAAAGGATTAAAGACGGAATGAATATTTTCTTCCTAAATACATTTGTCTGAAATTACATCCGTCAACTAAGCTGCAAACATGTTGCATGTGGTATCAACTCTTAACTGCTTGGTCTCCAATGAATCAGGCTTTAAATGAGCTTAATACAGGAAGACAAGACAGAGGTGATGAAGATACCCAACCAACATCAACAGCAACAACAAGCTCCAGTCACCATCAATAGGAGAAACTAAAAAGGAGTAGCCTCTTCAACCTATCTAGGCACCACTCTTTCAACTATGGACAGCACAGACGAGGACGTCAATTCCAGCCAGGATCGGAAACACAGCAAGACAGGTGTTCATTCACCTGAAACCAGTGTGCAGATCTTCTGCACTGCACTCAGCATCAAGCGTCAACAGGATCCGGATATTCAACAACAATCCAGTCAAGTCAGTGCTTCTGTATGGCTCAGAGACTTAGCGCGTTACGAAAAGCACTTCCAACAAACAACTACACACATTCATCAACAACTGACTACGCTAACTCATTACTGAAGATCAGATGGATTGTCGGAAAGAATAAGCAACAAGGAACTCACTGTAACTTGGCAACGAACCAACCAAGAACCTATCGCTGAACAGATATGCAGTGGAAGGGAGTGGAGATGGATTTGAGTGATCATACACTGAGGAGAAGGCCGAATGGGGAAATCACTCGCCAGTTCAGGTGGTCGAGTGGAACACTGATGGGAAGCGACGAGTTGGGTGTTTGATGAGAAGGTGATATGGAGGAGATGGTTAGAGGAATAAATGAGAGGTTGTGGGTTGTCGTGGAGCCAGGTTGAAAGGATTGCAGAGAAGAGAGTGCAATGGAGGCGAGCTACTGAATCCCTATATTCCATTAGGAACCGAAGGGAAAAATAATAATAACAACATTTTTGCAAAGTGTGTAGATTCTACTTAAACAGCGACGTCTAGTTTGTTTTGTTAGCAACCTAGAACAACCAACCACTGACTAGTTAACAGCTGATTATATATAATAAAGTAATAAAAAGCTATAAGCGTTAGTCAAGACATAAAAGCCATAAAACCTTACTTAAGGAAAAGAAATCGACATCCATATACTGCATATACATGATGAAAATTTGCTATTCTCGACTGTTATTTTATGGTATAATCCTCACACAAGGGTTAATGTAACATTAATTCACTCATATGAATGGAACAAATCTGTTTCAATAGTCTTGAACACTTGAGAATTTGTATTCTTGATGACATCAAACTGCACTACAATTGTGTATTAACTTAATTCCTGACATTACAAGTTGAAATCGAAAAGTAATCGAAACATATGACCTTCCTCAAATTCTCAATAATTCTCCTCAGTCAACTGTTTTGACAGTGTACAATGTTACATCAAATAGGAAAACAAATTCCACTCGATAATACTGTATTACCAATCAGTTAGTCTATTTCATAAAGAATTGTCTAAATTATTTCACAAGTAACATTTCGTGTGTTTGAATGCATTCAAAACAAGCAAAATATTATAATTTTGATAAAACTTGTTAATGAATGTTCAATTTGAGACAACTGAAATATACTGTTATGTACAGATTTGTTTCAATGATGGATTGTTTTCACTGGTACAAACTATTCATTGTAAATATAAAGTAGCTTTCCTTTAATTATATTTTGAAATAAAAGAAATCAGTGTTCAGTTAACTGTTTAGTCTACGTTGAATAAGGTAGAAAATTCAGAGTAGATGAAACCAGTGCATGGAATTTTGACAACTGAAAACGTGTTCCATTCATTATGCAACTTTAGATAGGCTTTGAATTGGAATGGTTTGGATAAATTAATTCTCTGTTCACATTATGACAGTATTCTATGTGTGTACGATGCTGGCATGCTTAATTTTCACATACTTTTTTAGTGTGATATACTTAATTAGGCGTTCAAGATATTTGGTATATTGTCGTGTTACGTTGTTTGTGTTGCCCATGCCTGATTGTTCACTAGTACATATTTCAAACATCTAGGTTTCCTGGCACTCATCTTCAAGTAAAAATTCCCTTCTGCAACAATTATTATTACTATTATTATTATTAGTCCCTTGGGTTCCTAATGGAACATAGGGATTCACTAGCACGTCTCCATTACACTCTCATCTCTGAAATCTTTTCAACCTGACTCCACGACAACCCACAACCTCTCATTTCCTCCTCACACGATCCCCTCCATGTCACCCTCACCACGGACACCCAACTCGTCGCTTCCCATAGGGATTCCACTCGAGCAACTGGCCTAACGCGTGATGTCCCCAGTCGGCATTCTCAGTGCATGCCCAATACATCTCCACTTCCTCCTGCATAGTTGTTGAGTGATAGGTTCTTGGTTGGTTCGTCACCCAGAGTTCCTTGTTGCTTATTCTTATTATTCTGGCAATCCATCTGATCTTCAGTAGCGAGCCAGTGTAGCAGTTGTTGATGAATGTCTGTAGTTTATTGGAAATCCCTTTCGTGACACGCCAAGTCTCTCATCCACCACACAGAAGCACTGACTTGACTAACATTGGTGTTGAAAATCCGGATGTTGTTGACGCTTTATGCTGAGTGGAGAAGATCTCCACACTGGTTTCAGGCCAATGAACGCCTGTCTTGCAGTCTTTCCGATCCTGGCTGACTTTGACATCCTCGTCTGTGCCTGTGCCACCTGTAGTTGAAACAGTGCTGCCTAGATAGGTGTAGGTGAAGGAGGTTACTTCCTTTAAGTATCTCCCATTGATGGTGATTGGAGTTTGTTGTTGTTGTTGGAGTTGTTGGTGCGGTATCTTCATCACTTCTGTCTTCTCTCTATTCACTTGAAGTCCCGTCTTCCTTCGCTGCCTCACCTCTTCTGTCAACTTGTTAGTTTTCGCCTGTAGGTCTTGAAGTTTGTGTGACATCAGACACAAGTCATCACTGGCGAAATCCAGATCTTCTAGGTTCTTTTCCGCAGTCCAGCCAGCGCATCCCCCTCTTCTCGCTCTCCTCTGCAACAATAGATATACTGTATTCTGTTATCTCTCTCATAAGATGTATCTGATAAGGAAGCATTCATAGTTAATAAAAGAAATAGTAATGTTTTTCTTTTATTCACAGCTGTGAATAAACGCCTAGATATCAATAATCAGAATATAATAAAAATGGCTTACAGGAAATGAAAAGTTTTTTTGAGGCCATCGTGATGGATTATGTCTGGGACCAAGACCTTCAACAACATTCGATCCATTTATTGCTTTCAGTGCTGCTACCAATTCCCAATTTGTTCTCAGGGGTAGTTCCTGTCCACTCACATTTAGAATATACTTCCACATATATTTAGTATTCCTCATTAGTTTATCTGCACACATTAGAAACACCTCAAGTATAGAATAATAGCCCCATTGAACATTAACACTCTCTGACCGGTCAATTACCATAACATTTGATCCAAAACATCTGGACAGCGCCGTCACTTCATCATAAAACTGTTGTGGAGATTTAGAATCCACATGGATACAGTACAAGTTTTGTGGTCTGTAAATCAATCGAAGAAGACGAGATACTTGTCTAATGTTTTCATGAATAGCTAAACTGAATGCCAGTGGAAATTGTTCTTCTTCCATAGAGGAATGGACAGTATATCCTTGAAACAATTTGAATTCACTGCATCCATAAGGACTGCATAAATCTGAGTAAGTTGTTTGCCTCCGGATATTCCCCACGTTTTTATCACTTGACATCCCAATGGGATTCCTGAGAAGGTAATCACAAGTGTGTTCAATATCAACATATTGTTCCACTTGCAGATGATTCGTACAGCTAATGGTTTCTTCCGATGAAAACAACCAAAGATACAGGATGAGTAGTGATAAAGATAGAAAACTTCCATAAATTATACTCTTGATTATAGTACGACTATCAGTCTGACTAAAAAATCTCTGCAAATGAACAATTCTGGATTTATCTCCATATGCCAGTACCATTTGTAGTCATTCGGAAACATAGATCAAGGAATAGCTTGTACAATGAATATCCTTGAGGTCATAAATCAATAAGCTTGATTTTGTAGACACAGTGACAGTGCAAATCGTAAAACTTACAACATATTGTATTCAATTTGTAATATTGAGAAAAGTCTTTGAAATAATACACAATTTTGATTTGTGTATGAGAATCAAATGATTGGTCATTTGAGCTTCAAAACACAAATGATTAGCTGTTTGTTCAACCTAATCAAGTTATATTAAGATTTGTGAATATTATTTGCTGAAACAATGTGAATGCGAATCTGACTACACTACCTTGGTGAGTAGTGTTGAAATTACGCAACAGGAAATGGCTGATACCAGTGTGATCATTTATCAAAGTTATTCAGTTAAAAATATGGTTGGAAAATTCCATTGAGACACTAACGATTTCGACAGTATTAATGTTTCAGTCTACATTCAGCCTGACATACCATTTATTACTTGTGGTTTTCATACTTCATCAAACGCTTGTACATAGGTATATAACAAGTTAATACCTGGTCAAATATCCTCTAATCTTTCTATTTCGTAGTGATATCTTCAGCTTCAGACTGACTTTCATTACTGTCGTGCGCACCTTCATCTTCTTCCACCTAAGCTTACCTCTAAACAGTTGGTTCTGGACACTTCCTCAAGTAAGTTTAATAGTCAGTGCAAACTCACCCAGATGTATCATGGTCGATCTACTCCTGCGTATTTTTGTGCTCCTGTTACAAATTTCGCCTGCTGCTCGCTTTTGTTATTCACTTTTCAGATTTACTTAACCAGTCCTGCATTCAAATGGAATCCTACAAATCGCATTCGTCAGCGGGAGATATTGGCACCGAAACCTGATGACGAACGCGCACACCCCAAGGTCATGAATGTGATGCGGCCTCACCTTCAAGAATATTGGATGATTCAAACGATGACCGGATAATCTTCAAATTCGAACTGAGCCTGCTTCAACATGCCTCCTATATGCCATAAATCACAGCATCTAATGTATAGCATAACATTGTACATAATAGTCATCTCTCATTACCAAAGTGATCAAACCTGTAAACTGGTTTGTATTCATGTAACCTTTGTTGCATGAAATATATTATTATCATTATTATCATTATCATTATCATACGAAATCTGATGTATCTCTGACATTATCATTACAGAACTGTTCATAACTTGACTGCTTTCTGATTTACACTGATATTGGTAGGATTTCTTAGTCTAGTATCTGACTGTGTACCGTTTTCAATGAGCACTACGATGCAAAATCCTTTCGAATATCTCTTTTATTAGTGAATTCAATTTCTTCTTTATTACTTTGTCATGTCGATGAATACTGTTTTAAAGTCTCTCTTGTCAGTTTTTATATAAAGATTTATCCATTTAAAAGAATGGGGCTGTATTTATGTCGATTAAGAGTTGATTATTATACTTCAGGTTACTTACAGCGATTTATTGTATCGCATTTTTTTAAGCGAGCCAATATACAAAGCGAACTGAAAGTGCAAACAATTATAGCAGTATACGTCAAGTGAATATACAATTCCATTGATAGGAAAATGTAATGAAAATACTGGTTAAAGTTATTGCTTGTAAGCCATATTTTCATACTGCCTCATTGAGAAATTATTCCGAATTTACACATTCGTGTGTGCCTTCAGGACAAGCAGGAATCAGAAGTAGTAGATGATGAGATAATCTTTTTAGAGATTTCAGAGACATGATAAAAGCTAAAATGCGTTGCTTGGAGTATAAAATAATGATGTACTTTCTGTTCCTTAACGGACTACCTTCATCTTTAGATGGTGAGAAATGAACTTTCACCATCTAATTAATATGACAAGTTCTTGCTCCGAATATTAACTGTGAGACACTTACTTTGATTAATGTGTTTACAAATAGTTGTTTCTTCGTCCAAATACTTGCTCAGATAGCCATCTAACTCAAGATTTAGCGAAAGTTGCGAATTTTTAAGTGAAATAACATGACTTGGTGACATTGCTTAGTCAGTTAGCTGCATGGATTATTAACCTCTCTCTTTAAATGAAGTGTTAGATAACACAAGAACTACCTGCATTCACTGATGATTTTCATCAACGACTGAAAACTATTGAGAAGCACTGAAAACATGGGACAGTGGAGCAGGTGTTTCGCTGTGATTCACAACTAGTGGTCAATATCTAGGATCATCAATTCTTGTCGTTCAGATATTATTCTGGAGTTTAATAGGCCATGTTTCGGTACTTATATGAGCTGTTGGTGTCCACTGTTTGGTAGTCCACGACTAAGACAGAATACCTGTCCAGTTGTCTCAGGATTTTGTATCTTTCCAAGTGATGTTAACGTATCATGAGGACTACACAGAAATTTATCAGTACCTTGAGACCCCAATGTGAAATACGTTTGCTGTGAATACAAGTGTATACAAAGCCGAGTCATATGCTTGTCTAGTTAGTCTGCAGTCAGTATATCCGTACTCTGTTGTTTACGATTCATACAATCTTTGCCTATGAACATCGTGTTTATGTGTGTTTCTACCATACCCACTGTTTTCTTTAGAGGTAGCAATTAATTATATCTTTTTCTGCGTATTGAGTAAAGAATGAAGGACTTGATCTCGGTGTACACGACTGTTGCAGTAAACCGTAGATTTCTCAATATCCAGAGTAGTCTTGTGTTCCAATGGTAGAAAATCCAACATCTGAGTGTCGGTCAACAATGAGAAGTAGTGACATTCGGCCGAATGCTCACAGCACTTAGTTTATATTCTTGCTGACTGGCTGTAAGCTTGGTGCATATGTTCGGGAATATGCAATTGATTTCCCTACGAACTTTGAAAAAATTATCCGGAAATACTACACAATCGGTCAAAAGTAAGAGGAGGTTGTAGCACGTAGAATTTGATGAGGTCATTTGTTATCAAATATTTTAGCTTAAAATATATGATAAAAACACTACCAAAAGTGACTTCACTGCAATGGCTGCTTCTTTGCTTAAATGTTTGACAATATCTTCAACAATGGTTATGAATTTTGGGGTATTTGTTTTAATCTATGACTTCTTCAGCAAATGAAATATTTAGAAAACAGCAAATGGTCCTTTTCACAAACCGTCTTCTCATCTTTCACTTCTTGTTGATAAAAATATATCTTCAACATCTTAATGACGGCTTGTCATCAAAGTATTCTCAAACAGACAAATGTAGTTCTACCACTGATAACATTGTGTTTTTGAGCTGTTATTTAGACAGGATATCCGTCAACCTGTGGTTTATTCTAGAGAGCTCATTTCTTCATCATTCGTTTGAATGGATAATGCAGATTATGAGCCATGATATTTCATCTCACTGGAAAATTTTTTCAAGGAAACAAAGCTATGGAATGTGGTTCTTGAATCATTTCACAAACGTCATTTTAACATATCAGTGACCGTGTAATGAATGTCCCTGAATGCGTGATGTCGTCCCACTGTAATAACATTCTGTGTCTATTGATAGGATGGCAGTATTCTTAATTAAGCAGCAATATGTTGTGGTAGGGATTTGGAACCGAACTAGTCGGCAATCACCTCCTTACATAAGCAGCTACCTAATAATTTTGTGGATACATTTAGTGGAAAAACTTGATTTCACTGTTTATTCGAACAAATACCTACTTTACGACCTATACTTGATTTATTTTTTCACATAAGTTTAAGGTTACATTTATTTTGATTCTGTGGTGTATTTCAAAGTTTAAAATGTCACAGGAATTTTGTTGTTTCTAATGGAAGTACACAGTCTATTCAACTTCACAATAATAAAATTATATCCTTATAATTTCATTAAATGTTCGTGCCGAATTTCAAGGTTTGTTAACCGATATCATGTGCAAAGAACGTTTTCTAATTAAGACTAAAATGGCATGAAATAACTTCTGTTCAGTTGAGATGTTCTTATACAGCATATTTAGCATTCGAATTTCGAAGTGTCATTGGAATAAGCGATATGTCATTCAAAAAAGCATTTACATTAAATATAATTCTCACTGTTCACCGATTTGTTTGAATTTTGTTAAGGAACTCGTTCATTAGTTTCGTCTTTTCCATGATCATTGAAAATGGAAACTTTCAGGTTGTTATTCATCGTAGACTGACATCAGTTCGAGGAATAAAGGAAACCTGAGAGCACTTGATAGCTGTTTCGTCCTAGTGAGGGACCCCTCAGCAGTGCGCGCCCACGACCCTTCTAAGGGTCAAATCCATGACCCTCAGGTTCCATGGCCAGCAGGTTACCATTCAGCCACTCAGTCAGAATCTAGTGGTCCATATTTCCAACTTCTGTTAGCTCACTATATAGAGCAACCTCTACCCAATGTCATCATTGAGTAACTATCCTCACAATCATCAGACTTTGCCTCCATCGGTCACGACTTCTCACTGGAACTTCGGGAATACTTCTCGAAACTAGTCACCAATGAGCATCAGTTCAATTTCATTTTGAGGGAGTTGTGGAGATTTGAAAATATTTCAAGTTGTTATTCATTATAGACTGACATCATTTGGAGAAACAAAGGAAACCTGGGAGCAGTGGACAGCTGTTTCGTCCTAGTATGGGACTTATCAGCAGTGTGCACACAATGTTAATCCAACTGATGTCAGTCTACGATGAATAACAGCTTGAAATATTTCTAAATCCCCACAAGTGCCTCAAAATTCAGAAATGAAAACTTCCAGAAGGTCATTATAATACTAGAGAGCTGGCATATTACGTATGTCTATGTTTGTATGCATGAATATCGAAATCAAATTGTTTTAAACATATGCAAAGAAACTTTTGAGTATAGAAGTGGTCATTGAGTTCAGTTTCTTAAACTTTCATGTTTAAACCATCTGGTTTCAAAGTATGAAGGTTCACTCAGAAGTCCTTTGAAGAATATTTTGCCATGGGATACACATATGACACAAGAAAATGTAATCAGTGGAAATGTGAATACTTAAGAAAAAGTAATAGAAGAACATGAATTTGACGTTGAAATATATCAGTAAATTAGGAAGTACATGCTACTGAAATCAAGCATGATATAAAGGTTTAACATTCAGTGACAGTGAGACTGCATTACCAACCTTACAGCCATTTGAAATGCTCAATATCAAATAAAACAAAAATGAAATAAAAGTTATAAC